ATAAATAAATCAGGTATATGTCTTGAACTATCAGAAAATCATGTTTAACGGGGCTCCCTGTAGTATAAATAAATCAGGTATATGTCTTGAACTATCAGAAAATCATGTTTAACGGGGCTCCCTGTAAAGTAAAAAAAAGTAAAAAATTATTTATTTATGAAATATAACAAAAACATACAAAAAAATGTGTTTCAGGAGAAAATATTTAAAAACCTCTAAAAGTAGAGGTTGTGGGAATATTTCCCCCCAATTCTAAAAAAAATAAAAATATAAATAATAGGAAAAGGAAAGGAAAGGATAAGGAAAGTTACATATTTATTGTTTACACTATATTTTACATAAAAATTAGTGGTGGATTGGTAGTATTTTTCGACGATGAACTAACAACTTTCAGTTTAGTTTAGATTTATTTGGAATGTTAAAAAAAGTAAAAAAAGCTTTATGGAGTGTGAATAAATAAATAAATCAGGTATATGTCTTGAAATATCAGAAAATCATGTTTAACGGGGCACCCTGTAGTATAAATAAATCAGGTATATGCCTTGAACTATCAGAAAATAATGTTTAACGGGGCACCCTGTAGTATAAATAAATCAGGTATATTAATTGCTCTATCAGAAAATCATGTTTAATGGGGCTCCCTCTAGTATAAGTAAATCAGGTAAATTAATTGAACTATCAGAAAATAATGTTTAACGGGGAACCCTGTAGTATAAGTAAACCAGGTATATTTCTTGAACTATCAGAAAATCATGTTTAACGGGGCACCCTGTAGTATAAGTAAATCAGGTATATTTCTTGAACTATCAGAAAATAATGTTTAACGTGGCACCCTGTAGTATAAGTAAATCAGATATATTTCTTGAACTATCAGAAAATAATGTTTAACGTGGCACCCTGTAGTATAAGTAAATCAGGTATATTTCTTGAACTATCAGAAAATCATGTTTAACGGGGCTCCCTATAGTATAAATAAATCAGGTATATGTCTTGAAATATCAGAAAATCATGTTTAACGGGGCTCCCTGTAGAATAAATAAATCAGGTATATTAATTGCTCTATCNTGAATTTTTTTTATTTAAATGTGACACATATTTTTAAATCTAATTTTAAGGACTTTTCAAATAAGTAAATTTTAGATCATGTCAAGTAGTAGAAAATTAATGGACTATTCTTATTTTTGTTTTAAACACCGACCATCCTGCATCCTATCTTATATCATACAGAAATAATTAAAATTTGTTCACAATTAGTTATATAGTTGAAAAAGTGAATAAGTTTGAGCGCTCTAGTTTTTAAGTTATTAAGATGAAACCACAGGGAGGGAGGGGTGAACCCCCCCCGGATCGTGATTGGGTTAATTGGATTCCAGAGCCAAAACATAACTTTTTCGCTATATCAATCCAGAGTTAAGAATTGAGAGACATGGAGAGACATACTTGAACATACTCTTAGAAAACGCAGAATACACAAATCATAGAAATTGTATTAGGATGATTCCTTTATCAAAGGGAGTTGTGTTTCCAAAAAGAGTGGTGCTTAATTACTTAATTAACAAAACGTATCAGAGCACCTTAAATATCAGAGAATTTTTTACACATTTAAAAACTGTCTTGTGTAAAAGCTTTTCTAAGTTTAATAAAAGAATAGAACTTAATACACAAATTTTTACATTTCAACAGAGATATTCTTCAGAATTTAGTAGAGCCTTTTTAAAATTTAAGCACACCGAAAGTCTAAAAAAAATTTAGTTAAGTCGTTGTTCACAAGTATACTCATAATAGTGAATAGAAGGGGGGGAAACCTATGGGGCATTGGAAGTTTTTAAAATGAGATTTGGGGAGAAGGGATGGTGACAAAATGGAGTTTTACTGGAGGAACGGTGTTAGAATGGAATAAGGGAGCAGGGAGGGTCTTAGAATGGAAATATGTTGGAGAGGGTGATAGAATGGAGTAAGTGTAGAAGGGGGGCGGGTGTAAGAATGGAGTAAGGGAAGTAGGGAGGGTGTTAAAATGGAGTTAGAGTAGTAGGGAGGGTGTTAGAATGGAGTAATAGTAGTAGGGAGGGTGCTAGAATGGAGTAAGGGTAGAAGGGAGGATGTTAGAATGGAGAATGAATAGTATGGAGGGTGTTAGAATGGAGGAAATGGAGTTAAGGTAGTAGAGAGGGTGCTAGAATGGAGTAAGGGTGGTAGGGAGGGTGTTAGAATGGAGTAAGGGTGCAGAAAGGGTGATAGAATGGAGTCAGGGTAGTAGGGAGGGTGTTAAAATGGAGTTAGAGTAGTAGGGAGGGTGTTAGAATGGTGTAAGGGTAGTAGGGAGGGTTTTAGAATGGAGAAAGAATAGTAAGGAGGGTGTTAGAATGGAGGAAATGGAGTAAGTAGGGAGGGTGTTAGAATGGTGTAAGGGTAGTAGGGAGGGTTTTAGAATGGAGAATGAATAGTATGGAGGGTGTTAGAATGGAGGAAATGGAGTAAAGGTAGTAGGGAGGGTGCTAGAATGGAGTAAGGGTGGTAGGGAGGGTTTTAGAATGGAGTATGGGTAGTAGGGAGAGTGTTAAAATGGAGTAAGAGTAGTAGGGAGGGTGTTAGAATGGAGTAAGGGTAGTAGGGAGGGTTTTAGAA